TGAACTTTTGGTAAACTGCATTTTTGGTTCGCACGAAGTTTATGAATAAACAAGGAGCGCGTGTGACAGAGCGGTCTGAAACGCCCAGCGACACACACATGGCCGATACTTCGTCCACGCACTAAGGCTCACCGAGACCTCCATCCTTCCGAGGTCGGTGTTGCCACTACCATAAGACTTGTCTAAGAGGACAGTGGCATCGACTAGAAACATCAGTATGCTACTGCGAGATGTTCCAAAGGCCAAATATGCATTTAGTCGCTTCAAATGGCGCTGCAAATGGAAGCGAATGGAGAGAGCATACCTCAGGGGATGATCAGCGCCGTGGGCTTTATCTTTTGTCTCTTTATAATATTATTTATCGGTTTGTTTGGTTTATTTCACTGGTTCTCTTTATCCCTTTGAGGCGACCATACGGTACTTTTTACATCGAGCCGCGCGATGCCATATCTCACTCAGCTGTTATAATGGCGGCGTCGCATCTCATGCGAAAGTAGGCAGACAGCCAGACATCCACACACAGGCACGTAGATGTCGCCTACCTTGGCTGCCGCTCGAGCGACGGCGCAACGTTTCCTGCCTACCAAAGTTGGTCCTCAAGGGCTTATCCTTTCCACCTGGACTTCCAAGTATCTGCAAAGTTCTCAAGGCCTAATGTTTTTTCATGTTCTGACAATTAGCAAGGAGGATTCCATTCGCTAAAACTTAATGTTTGTTCCACTGTCACCAATATTTCGAATAACTTCCTATCATTCCGTCTGCTACTAATTCTTTAGTCGTTACTTGTCCATTATGGAGCGAAAAAGAAAAACCGAACTCATTTAATGCACAGGAACTTTTAATAGGAGTGTTAGTAATCATTCGAAAGCTTGGAGTTGTGGCTAGAGCCCCACATTGCCGATTTTTGAATAGACCCTTCTATAAAGCTGTAAAATCCACACAAAATTATGTTTCAAACGGAGCATGTTTCTTTCCGGGCAGTAATCTTTGCTTGGACTACTAATAAACATTCGATTGTGTAATCGTTGCTGACTCCAACGCTGTGCTTATATCTTGAAAAGACCGTTTCTTTGTAATGTACTGGGTATAACAGTATGACTTCGCATGTGCATTACGAGGGGGGAGGGGTGGGAAAGGGCCTTTTCCAATTCGCGTGCGGCTGGCTGAGGCAGCCACGTGCTGCTGATGCGATCTCGTAAAAGCGGTTCAAGATTGGTCGATCATCGCCTCAGCGTACGTGGCCGGTTCAGCCAGCCGCATGTCAGTTGGCCTGAGACAGCTTTGGTCGCACATGCGAAGTAAGCGTCTGGAACGCAAGGAATTTCGTTCTGTAAGAACGTCAAATAAAGATTCATTCGATAATAGACCATGTGGAGCTTCAACCACAACTCTAAGCTTTCGAATGATTACTAACTCCTTTTACGAAAAGTTTCTGTCCTGCTAATGAAATCGATTTTCTATTTGTCGCTTCATAATGGACAAGTGCCCTTTGGTCTATTGTATACCATTCAGTCTCCTTTGAGTTAGCGTAGGAGTAGCCCTATATTCGTTAACTGGGCATTTTGATAGTTAAAACATGGTTATGATAATGAATTTCTTGCCGAACCTTGAAGAATAGAAAGATATAAGCTCTCGGCGTTAGTCAGTCCCTAAAGGAATGGCCATACATTCGATTCCATTCGTAACATCGTAGAGACGACTGGATGCCTCTATAGCCTTTACAATGACTCGCGTAGGCCCATCGATTTACCAAGTCACTGCTGCTATCGTCTCAGAAAAATCTCCTAACAATTCGCCAACTCTGGAGGGATGGAAGGCTTAGTGAGCCTTGAGCGTCGGATAGGGCCACCGGTCACGTGTACGTCGCAGCTTGAACTACTGCGCCATATGCGCTCCTACTGAAAGCTTAATCCTAAAATTTGTCTCTTTTGCTCAGTGTAGTTTTTATGAGCTTGTGCTTGATTTATTGTTATTTAGCCCACGCCAACGGTATCACAAACACTACATCCGAGCGAGCCATTTTGGAACCTCAACCGATGGTGCCTCAATCTCCGCTGCCCATAGTGACTGTAAATTTATCATTAAACCATCGTGAAAAAATCAAAAGGCTCGACAGCCCAGCTGCTATATCAGCAGAAGCTCAGGTAGAGTGTTTACCTCGTATTTACCTCAAAGATATCACTACAGTATGCTTTTGAATAGTCATCAGGAAGTTTATGTGTACATTTGACTACCGGTGTTTAGGACTTCTCTGTATCTTGTTTTATTTTTGTTGAGAAGAAAGATGGAAAGGGGAAATAGACGACCCAACCCTTTGAGGACAGTTTCGCACCGTGCCGCGCGAACTTAAAGCTCAATCAGCTACTGTAATTGTGGTGTCGCGTCCAAGCTCAGATATCCAGACATGCAAATGCTGTCTGCCTGCTACTGCCGCGCAAGAGACTGTACGACGCAGCCTCCTGGTCCTCAAAGTGTTAATCATGGAAGTTTTTTTGTCCCATAACGTCGTCAATGGGCAAAATGTTGTATATTACAATGATTCCCAGCTTTCCCATTCATGAGTTCCGCGTTCGCTTTAGTGGGTCTCCATGCAACTGTGGGTTTGAAAGATGTAATCAGCAAGAGCACTTTATTTAACTCCTTCAAACCTCGGGCTGGAGTTGAACCCGCGTCACGTCTTCCCTAAGGAGCGTGCTAAGTAGTGCACTATTTGTGCTTCTGTTCCGCCATCATTCTTTTTGCAATATGATTTAAGAAATTTCCTATTCTCTATGGTTCACCCCATGTTCAGTGCTTTTTCCATAGATGAGGATTCCACCTCAACCACATCCGTTGTTTCGCAAATCTCTGTTCAGAAGATAGATACAGTGCTTCTTCTGCTTATTGTGAAGTTTTACGGTGATGTCTTATTAGTTATCTGGGTGCTTATATGTTAAACGGCGACTAATGAAAAATTAATCTCGGCCGCAGAACTAGGGTTTTTCATAGGAGTGGTAGTATTCATCAGAAAGCTCAAACCTTTGGCTAGATCTACACGTAATTCATTTTCTAAACCACACTTTTATAACACCCTAAAATCCAAAATAGAATTATGTTCCACATATGCACGTGTTTTTTTCTCATCGCGCTCATATTGCGCTGTACAAATTCTCTTTCTTTATAGCAAACCTCCCAACGGAGTTTTGCTATCTTTTCGGGAATTATATGATAATTTATTCAGCGCAAATGGTCTACGACCTTAGAGAGCAAGTGGTATCGCAGAGGCTCGAGGACCTTAGACAGAAATGGTCCAAGTGACAAGGGCGGCACCCAGATAATATCTTTTGGGATTTACGGCTCTCACCCGTAAGGCCCGGGTTCGATTCCCGGCAACGGAACCACTGGGTGCCGCCCTTGTCACTTGGACCATTTCTGTCTAAGGTCCTCGAGCCTCTGCGATACCACTTGCTCTCTAAGGTCGTAGACCATTTGCGCTGCCTAAATTATCATATAATTCCCGAAAAGATAGCAAAACTCCGTTGGGAGGTTTGCTATATTCTTAGAGTGTTAGTGATTATTTGATAGCCCACGTTTCAAGAAACTAGAAGGTGTCTATTTTTAAAAAGCTCTTTTTTTTGACTATTAGTACTCATTCGATTGCGTAAGCTCAATAATTTCTATGATGTGCTTATTTTTGCGAAATATCGTTAGCAGGGAATAGGTTCGAATCTTACATTTTCGAGCGAGCTTGCTCATCGGCTAGTCTATAGTCTTTGCGGATGAGGGGAGGGGTCCATTTGATCAAAGGCTTGGCCGTTGGTTATGTGGGATGTAATTTGCAATTCATTTGGAAATTCTTTCTTCGCTTTGAAGGGAGTTCCAGGTGAAACGATGACATGGATGCTACAAAAGTTTCGCTACACGTTGACATGCTTTTAATGCTTCCAGCGATCTATACGTGTGAAAAAATGAAGGCGCGCAGAGGGTGTAAAACACGCATTATAAAGGGTCTTTTCAAAACCGCCGTTTGGGGCTCTAGCCAAGGATTAAAGCTCTCAAATGATCCCAACACGTTCCAGTTCAGCCAATGATATCGGTTATTCATTTGTCTTTGTATAAGATATAAGTACCGATATCTGAGGGTTTTCTTCTAAACTATGTCTTTCGGGGTTTCTATTGGGTTAGTGAATCTATGAAGACCGGTACAGTTTCGTAGTGATAACACACTAGGGGTTAATCAGCAATTTTCTCTCTTTTTTGGCTCATTGGTACGTTTTCTTCTTTTCTGTTTCAAATTTCCATTTCGTCTAATTAGTTATCGATAACGGAACCGAACTGTTAAATAGCTTCACTTGGTAGAACAGTTGTACGGAGTCATAAAATAGACCTAAGCGTGCTGAAAGAAATGCTAACCATTTATCAGGCGTGAGTTGTAACCGCGTAATACACATACGGGTCAGACGTGCTACCACTACACCACCAATGCCACTTTTCTATTACTCTGATACTATTCAGTCACAAAGAAACAAAAGAAGGACCGACCTCATTCGTTTGGCAGGGACTTTTCATAGGAGTGTTAGAACCATTCGAAAGCTGAGACCTCAAACTACAGTAGTTCCTGGTCGTTGGTTTTTGAGAAAGCCTATCAAACGTGGCTACAGAAGCAGATTTCTTGCTTTGTAGACGCGCATTTATGTGGTCGGGCAGAGCTCTTTCTTTGAACTGTTGATAATCATACGATAACATAATAGAATCTGATTCCATCGCTTAGCTTATATCCTGAAAAGATCGTTTCTCTGCAACTTAGCAAGTATAATACGTTGAATTTCCACTGGCGATCAAGGGGTCTTTGGGAAATTCGATGATCATCGCGTCATCGAACGTTGTCACCTCACGCACAAGATGTGAATTGGCCAAAGACTCTCTTTATCGCAGATGGAAATATAACTCATTTTCAAACGACATTCTTTCTATTTAACCGCATTTTGAGGTGATATGATGCTACAAATATATACCCATTGATGTAGAGTGTTGTGCAAAACTTCGCCTCAGGCGGGACTAGAACCCGAACCTCAATCTTTCGAGGAATGCGTGCTCTATTCGTTACACTACTGACGCCCATTTTGCACATCGCTCTTTCTACTCTACAGCGCACCTATCTGTCAGCCGCCAGCCGTCTACGGCCTTGACTTATTTTACCTATTGCGTTGCAGAGAAACGGCCTTTTAGGGTATAAGCGCAGCATTGGGATCAGATTCGATTACGCTATTGTGTGAATGCTAATAGTTAAAAAAAGCCTTTTTCGAAAAGGTATATGCGCTTCAGCAATGCAAGAAATCTTTTTTAGCAACGTCCAAAAGAAGCCTTTTCTAAAACAGACGACGTGGAGCTGTGGCCTGAAATCTCAGCTTTCGAATAGTAATTGAAACTCCTATGAAACGCTTCTATTGAGCGAATGAGATCAATTTTTTATTTGCTCTCTTACAACTGAGAGCCTTACCCTTTCTTCGTTTTTCAAATAATCGCTTGGCGCTCTATTTTCCAAAAGCTTAGAGAAGTTCGATGGTAACCTGAGGTGTACAGGAATTCTCACTAGCATTGCCGCTTTCAGAGTTCCATTTTGGGAGCTTATTCGACTATATCACCGAGATCCCTAACTTAACACATAGGAAGGCCATATTAATGAATATTGTACAGGTGGCGGTGCGTCTGACGCATTGATGAGAGGTGCTGTACGGCACACACGTGGTCAATCATTTAACGGTTTGCTCCCCAGCTGAAGGTTCACCAAGCCTTCCATCCCTCCGAGGTTGGCAGTTCGGTACCTCACTGATGTGGGAGGATAGCACCACTTATCTAATACATCGATCGATGGGCCAGCGCGTTTCATTTCAGATGTCAAACATCTCTACGATGCCTCTTGTTGTCGGTAGCTAGACGATTTACCTTTGCAATTTTACAGCATTGTTTGAATTATACGCGATACACGATATGATCGTTTTTTAACCCTTTTGAGACGGTGGGCCAGCTTCTCTGCATCACCAATCCCTAGCTCGGCAACGCTGAACGCTTTGCTCCACCTTTTCTGCATCTTGCACCAAATTTTTTTATTTTCATATGGTAATACCTATACCAACCATGAGCGGCCGACTGTTGATCACTGCAGTGTCGGTGGAATTACCATCTGACACGCGGTGATTTGAAATAAATGGCGTCGATTTCTCTAAATGTGGAAAGTATATCGCCCTGCAAGGGATTGGTTGAAACGAAAAAGCACCGTGCTACTGATGAGATTGCAGTGCCGAAGTACGTGATTAGCATTGTACAAGTACCATGACAGACCTCATGAAAGGCTCAAGATATGTTTGTTAGACTGTAGTAGGACTTGTTCAAAAGTACAAATCTCGGAGATTCCGAGGAAACACTTTGTGTAGGAGCGAAAAGAAAGTTAGGCGTCATACCCAAAGTTTTCTTCGCACATAAATTCTGTATATGAATAAGGGTATGCCAACGTCTAGAGAAAGTCATGTTGTATCAGAATTAGAGTTCAATTCGGATCAAACAAGGAGTAAAGAAGCGAACCCTTTCATTGGAAGAAAACTTTTCAATAGAACATTTGTAGTCATTTGAAACCTTAACTGTCATGAAGTGATGTACATGTTCGTCTTTTGAAGAAAACTTTATATATGGTTGTAGTATTCAGAATAAAATTATGTTTTGCTAGCGCTTCGTACTCAATTCACCATTTCGTTGGACAAGTTTCTTTCCTTAGACTGCTAGTAACTGTTCGATGATTGAAGTCTTGGAGAATTCAACAATGCCTTTGCTTTTTGAAAACGTTTTTTAACAGCGCTGTAGTGAAAAGAAAAGTTTTGTTTCACACATGTGTATTACTCTCAGGACAGAGCTTGATTGAATTACACGTAATCATTCGATAGCGTAAGTTTCGTTGATTCCAATGCTTTGTTTATTTTTGAAAAACCGTTCTATTGCAGTGTAGCGTGAAAAATAAGATTGGTTTCACATGGCGTGCATCTGTTGGTCGGCCAGAATGTGTGCTTGGCTGTGGATCGATACGCGACTAATCGCTCGCGCAGGCGCGACTCAAATGTGTAGTGCGGTTTTAGTTATTGAATTCAGGATTTTTCCTTGCTCTGGCAAAAACATGTAAGTAGAGCTCATGACTGTGATACTAGAAGATTTTCTAAGCGCGCTCATATGCTTTTGGTCCTTTTAACAAATTTGAAGGTTGTGTAAAAAGTTCGTCCGTTTTGGTTCTTAATATGACTTATGCAATGAAATTACATGATTTTGGTTGTGGCACAGATTAAATGCGCATTTTCTTGCTTACGTCATGGTGCATAATTTGTCTATACCAGCTCATAGATAAAGCAGTCGTAGAAACATGTTCGTCTGTGACTCATCCACGAATGGCGCGTAGGGGATAAAGGCAGTGAAGCAATGAGCAAGATTAATGGGACTTAGGCGACGATACGGATGCAGAAAGGATTGCTTCTAGGCTTAGATCAATTTATGAAACCCCCACATTGAGTTCTTTCGGACCTTATCCAGTTCATGCGAATTGTTGGCGATGATCTTGAAGCAACAATCGGACTCTCCGGCTAACATTCGGCATGCCGTTGAGGGATTCTCTTCGACCATCCCAAAGACAGCTTCCTGCGGACTGCCCGGCGCGAATGATTCCCCAGCTCTGAACTTTGCGAACCAAATCCTAGCCGTCCTTTCTGCAACCGTATCATCGCCTCAAGCTCTGTTGATCTTGAGCGTTGCTTCATCAACATGTTCCCCTATGCGCCAGTCATGCATAAGCAGCAAGTGAATTCGTTCTCAAGACAGCTCCATTTCGAAGCAAATATAGGCGAATTTTGCACGAAAATCTTCATAAGAAAATGTGCAATTAAGCAATATCAAAATCATGCAATTTTAGTGCAAAAATTAGATTTTAAAAGCAAACGGCACGAATTCTATAACACAACCTTTCATAAACGTAATGAAAATGAAGCAGCGTGACGGGTGTGAAACATAATTTTATTTTGAATGCACCAGTGTTCACAAAAGGGCATTTTCAATAACGAGTGCGTACAATACTCCCGCGATATTCAAGCTTTCGAATGATTACTACCACTATTATGAAAACTTCTTTTCCAGCAAAAGAGACTGTTTCTTCATTCTCTGCAGAATAATCGATCTAATCCCAAGATAATTCAGAAAACCTAGAGTTTTGTTCTGAACAGTTTCTACCTAATAACGAAAATCGCGCGCTGCCTGTTAAAACTGCTTACCCGCTGTCTGCAAAAGGTTAATAAATTCTCATAGGTAATCCAGAGAGTGTTAGGACGTGTATCTCTCAGTTCGATATGCTCTCATTCCAAACAGAGCTCAGAATTTACCTTAGTAATTGGAAGTAATAAAGCGAGTTGTTCGCCAAAAATGCGACGTCAAGTCGTCGAGGCACAGGCATTTATGTGCCTACCTTTCGTTTCGAGTGTTTTTTTCGAATACCACGCTTAAATTCCTGAATAGAGTCACAGCACGACCCATCTAGTGATTTTTATCACTTGATGGCACGTGCAAATAGTACGTCTGCGTCTCCTCTGTGTAGGAGTTAGGTTGCTCCACGAAGGATTGGCTAAGACGGAAAGCACTGTGCAATTAACGAGGCTACCAAGACCGAAACACGTGCATTACACTGTATAAGTGCGCATAACAGACCACAAGCATGGTTTAAAAATAATCATTAAGCATGTCAACGGAAATATTTTCTTGTCGTAATGAGAAATTAAGTGAAAAATTATCAAGAAACCTCCTTGATTTAGACCAACTGCAATTTTACCTCTGCAATTGGTAGGCTGCTATTTGACTAAAAAAAGTAGAGGAGAGAAACTTTTTTGCACCAAATAAACCGTCATAAAGAATGTGACCTCTATGCAAGTCAGAACAGCACTTGGTTAAATCAAAAACGGCCTGCAAAAGGGTCATGTCGTTGCGAATGTATTCATTACGAACAGTGCTTTGTAAGTGTGACATTTTCCTCTCAATATGTTCTATTTCTTGATTAATCGCATGTTTTTGGCCAAGTTGTCTAACAATTTACACAGGATATACCGTTTCAGAAAACCGGAACGTCAGAGGTGAATCTGATCTGTAGGCGTCGACACGTGAATGATCAAAAAGCAAAATTTTGAAGTAAGTGTTCGGTGTTTGATGAGTTTCTTTTTGTCAGTTCTCCATAGGATTTTCAGTTCTCTAATTCCAGTATCAAACTGAGCTAGATTATTTATAAATTAGGTTGAACCAAAAGTTCC